AAGTAAAATAATAATAAAGATAAAGAAAAGAAAAGTAAAAGAAATAAAGAAGAAAAATAAGAAAGAAAAGAAACGGAATACTAAAGCTAAAAGGTGACGTGGTAGGCCAGTTACCTCTAAAACTACTAAAACTATCTTGTCGAATTTCAATCTCTCCCTTTTACATGAATTAAAAAGCTACTTATTTATACAAAATACAATATATAGAAAAATATAACTAACATGTCTAATATATCAACTATGTTTAATATATCAACTATATCAACTATGTCTAATATATCAACTATATCAACTATGTTAACTATGTCAACTATGTCAACTATGTCAAATATGTCAAATATGTCTGACATATCATATATGTCAGTTATGTTAAATCAGTCGATCTTCTGCATCCCACGAGCTGCGTCACATTTACCCGTTCACAATAGCAAAATTTAATTTAGAATTATAAATTATTTAAAAAACAAAAATTATTGATGTTAAAAGAAATAATAATTTATCCTTTAAAGATTCATTTGTTAATTTAAAAAATTTAGCTAAATTTTAAATTAATAAATTAAAACCTTTAGAGAAAAAAGTTTTATTATTTTTATTATCAATATTTGATAAAGTTTATTAAAATTAAACAAATTAACAATAATAAATATTCAAAATTTTATCTTTCAAATTTTAATATAGAAGTAGATATAAAGGTACTTTCTTTAACTTGAAATATACAAAAAAACCTGCTGATAATAAATTTTATAATATAGATAATTGCTTATTTACCAAATTATATAAAATTATTTAATAGAAGTATTTTAATTTATGAATATAGTTTTTATAAAAATTTTTTAAATACTCTATTTAATAATAAGTATTTTTATTAATTCCTTTATTTGAAAATAAAAGTAATGATTTAAATGAAAATAATAATAATAATAATAAAGTATAGAAAGTATATTAGAAAAAATAGAATATAATATAATGTATAGTATTTAAATTAAATTAAAATTTTAAATTTTAATCATTTTAATTAATATAAAAAATACATTAATTTTAATATTTATTTTTATTTTTATGTAATTGTAAAATGTTATTTCTAGTAAAATTTATTCAAAAATAATTATATTTTAATAAAATTTAGTATTATATTTCTTTATATTAATATAAAATTTATTGTAAAAAATTAGCTTATATTATCCTATGCAAAAATGTAGATATATGATATTTGTTATGCAAATTTTCTTTCTGATAAAAATTCTGAAATTCAAGTTATGTGAAAATCTTGATTATATAAAAGGTAAGTTCAATCTTAGATAATTTTTTTTAAATTAATTTAAATCACTTTTATTTTTATATAGATAAATTAAAGTAGAATAAAACTTTACTAATTAATAATAAAAGAAGAATGATAATTAGCATTCATCAATTTTTTTAGACACTAGGAAACGGAAACCGTTGTAAAGTCTGGAGTTTTTTTTATTTTAAATAAATATGCAAATACAAAATCAACCAATCAAAAATTACACGTGCAGACAACCAGACTTCACCACGTAATCATATTTGTGACTACCTTGTATAGAAGTATATAGTCTTTCATTACACTCTAGACTAATAATATAATATAAAAGTAATATCTAAACAATTATTATGTAAGCAGATTATTTTAGTTTTAAATATTAAAGAAGTTATAGTTACACAAATGATTACCAGATAGAATCAAAATATGGATTTTGTAGAACATAGAAAACTGGTAAACCAAAAAATGAACTTGACACCAATATCATAGAAGTTATATGTAGTTTAATTATATCAGCAAATACTATTGGTATATCACCTTTAACAGTTATTTTAAGATAAAAATTAGAAGAATGTAATTATCAACTTTCAAAATAGCAGTTATTTTAAATATTATATACTTTAGGTGTTATAGTAAACATTGGAATATTTACAAATTATCTGCAAATATTGCCTTTTAAAGTCATTATTAAGAAAATTTTTAGGAAATTTACAAGGTAAAAATGATGTTCTAAGTAAATCAAAAGTTTTTTTGGATAAATTCTATTGTCATTTATATTATATTATAAGACACATATAAGTATCACATTATAGAATTATCTGTTCATCTAGACATAATCCTTTAATTATTATATTTAGAGCAATTATTGTATTTCATAATGATGATACTAATAAAGTTTATGGTAAAATTGTACTAATTCTATTTTATTATGAGACTTAATAATTAAATTACCTTTTTTAAAAGGAAGAAAACAAATAGATGCAGATGTTTGACAAGATATTTCTAAGATTATCTGTAATTTTAATTTTATGGCTAATCAGGTAGATTATTATGACAATTTTAATGATGAAATTTTTGAAGATATTTTTGATAGACTTTATACATCTATTAGTGACTGATATGAATTTATAGACATTCATATGGATAAAGCATATTATTATAAAATCAGGTTGAACAGATTCTAATATTAAATTCAAGAAAAAAATATGTTAATTACATGGTTGATGTTAAAGGGTATTAAAATTCCAAAATATGCTAGTAAAGTAAAGCTTTATGAATTAATAAAACAAAATAAAGCCAATATACCTTTTACATGCATGTAATCTAATAGTTAATAAATATAATTATAATTTGTATTATACTCCTTCATATTATTATAAACTTCAACCGATTGATGGAATTTAGGCAGTTATAAAAGGAGAGGTTGCTAAAACTGATTTATACCTTAATCTTCTTGCTATTAAAAATAAATTATTATTTGCATTTAAAGAGAAGATTACCTCTAAAACTATCATTGGATTTTGGAGAAAATCTCTTATTAAATAAAATAAAGGAATATAAAGATTTAAATGATGATATAATTTTACTTGAAAGTGATAATGAAGATTTTGCAATTGAAGAAATTGATACTTAGTAAAATTTTTTATTGAAATATAATATTTTAATAAAAATTATATTGAAATATACTTTAAACCTAATATGATAAATTATAATTTTTAAATGTGATTATTAATAAATAAAATTTTTTTTAATTATTAATATATTTGTGTATCTACATTTTGCATCAGACAAATATTATGATTTAAAATATTTTAATTGGAGCTAATTAACATAAAAATACATTGATTTTTTTTATGTAATTGCAAAATGTTGCTTCTAATAAAATTTACTTAATAATAATTAGATTTCAATAAAATTTGGTATTTTATTATATTAATATAAAGCTACCTGTAAAAAAAATTAACTTATATTATTATGTAGGTTTTTCAATTGTAGTAAAATTACATTGATTTTAGCATTTTTTTTTATGTAATTGCAATAATTAGTTTTCGATAAAATTCAGTATTTTATTTCTTTTTAATAATATAAACCAACTTGTAAAAATTAACATATATTATTAAATTGATTTAACAGCATTTTTTTATTTGTGATAAAATGAAATAATGATCGGCAAAAGATCGACAAAAAAAATTCTGACAAATATTGATATAATTAAGCATGTCCGCTATGCTCATTCAAGTAAATCTGGGAATAAAGAACCAAAATAAATTTATCAAATTTTCAAGCTTAGTGGAAAATTTCCAAAGGAGAATTGATTATATTACAGGATGTTGTGGTTCGACAGAGGAAACTTTGGTGAGTCAAAATTGATTTTTCTGTTAATCAATCGCGCTGATTTTTTATTACTTACAGAAGTTTTTACAACTATTAACAGGTCAAGGAACTTTGACAATTTATTCCATGTAAATATTAATAGTGATTACAAATCACTGCGAGTGAGCGGTATGAGAAAAACTTATCATAAACTAAGAGAAGAATGGTTAAAAATTTTAAATAGATAATTGCCCATGAACCTTATAGTGGAGAATTTCTTTCCTTTTCTCCAAAAAATTTTTTAAAATTTTAAAATGTTGATTGACGGAAAAAAATCAAAGATCAAGACTTCTCTTTTAAAAGAAGAAGCTGAAGAGATTAAAGAATATCATTTTCATGTTTATTTTTTCCAGGTATTTTTGGTCTATATACGATACATTACAGAGAAATTTTGGAAATGTATTTTTTTTACTCCTAATTATTACGTCAGTATAATGAAAAACATCGTGCATCAGCTCTCGCCCTACGTGAAAAGATATCTGAATTAGTTGAGAAAGGATTTTTTCATCCTGTCCCGTATAAAACGGTTAACTATGCCCCACTAGGACCTCATTTAGTCGTGCGTTCACTTTTCCAATTACTTTATAAAACTTCGTGGTAAATTTTAATAAAAATGAATTAATCAGCTTCTTGTTTAGGGATCATATGAAGTGTGGTGTCCTAAAGAACATTTCTCTAGGGTATATTCATGGTTCCTTCTTCATCGTGGAATTCATTCTGTTCTTATTCACCCTTTGACCAAAAAGGAGGTTTTAGATCACACCGATAGAGCGGTATGGATGGGAGATTCTTTTCCTCTGGACTTGTCGATTCTTCACGATTTAGATCAGGTCCCTTTACAATATCCTGAGCTTGGACTTGGATATTCTGCTCCTAATGATAACTAGGGTGAAGTCAAATAGGTTTAGTTGAAATTTTTGTTTCAATCCTTACTTAAATAAGTTAGTTTTATCCGTGCGCAGACGTATATAATTAAATGGATGACAGGCAAAAAAAAAAAAACCCCCTATCACTGTGTATGTTATTTTATGTTGTGTAAAATATAATAAATCTCGTTGGTTTCTCTTTTAACGATTGTCCGACAATCATTGTGTTTCAAATTTTCCCTAGATTTCCAGTTTAACATAGTAATTTATTTTAAATTTTGACTTTAAATAGAAAACTAATCATATATTAAAAGGTTTCAGGATTTCGTGATTGATAATTGGAATTGGGATGTCTTATTCAATCTTACCCAAAAAATCTCAATTTATTTACAAATTAAGAGAAAATAAAAAAAAATTGTTTGTTTTTGTGTTAGTGCAACTTCTTCAAGTTCGTATGCAACATTCAGGTCTATTTAGGAAGTAATTCTAAATCCCTTTTTTCTTAAATAGACTGTTATGGTAATGACCTACTTTTTTTTTTCTCTCGTATAAAAACTGTTATACTTTAAAAAATTTTTATTTTCATTAATTCGTTGTCTTTTTATTGCAACCAAGAATAAAAAGAAAAGAAAGAAACAAACTTTTCCCATTCTTTTTTTCTTTCTTTAACTTTCGTGGTGATTTTTTTATTTTTTTTAATAATAAAATTATCACGATAAAGTCAATCCTTTAATTATTTAAAGAAAAAAATGGCAAATTTATCCGACACTAGTTATCTTGGTAAAAAAAAATTTTTCACCTTTGATCCCAACCCTTTTCATTTCTTTCTTTCTTTCTTTCTTAAGATAAATAAATATACACATATATATAACTAAATTTAACTTTTTATTTTTATTCATAACAGCAAGAATATGTTATATTCCATTTGTTTTAACTTGGCAAGTTATTCTCACTCTTTTTAAAATATATTTTAATTTATTTATAAATTTTTATATTTATATATTAATTTCAAACCATTTTTTTTTATTAGGATGATTATTCGAATATGGCAAACAAATCGATTGTATTCCTTTTCTTTTCCACATTTAGTTCGACTTGAACCTCGTTCCCTATTCACCTATACATTCTTACTCGCTTTACTTGTTCAGCTTGCACATGATGTTATAATTTATTATATTCAAATTAATGAAGGATACTTTAAGGAAACGATAGTAGAAATGCCAGAATCAGCGAAGATTCTGCAATTGAACAAGTTGGCAAAATATTTGGACTCGATATCGATTAGTTTCACCATGTAAGCAATATAAATAATAATAAAATAAAGTAATACGGTACCTGGTGATCGATAACTGCGCCACAAACTTACCAAATTTTTTAATTTAGATCGAGCCTGCTTTCTTTACAGGCTTTCTGGAGTTGTGTCATGGAAAAAATTTCCCGGAGAAACTATGAAAGCATATGCGAATATTGGATATATTTGGTGTTAGGCGTCTTACTACTTCCAGCGTAAGTTATGAAAATTGGTGCTGCGCCTCTTTGAACAAAATTTTAATTAATTCGGATTCGTTTCTATAGGTTTCCCATCATCGCTTACGTATTCGATGCTTTGATTGAAAAACCAAAAATTTTAGAGAATGTTCCGCGCCTTTCGGTTAGCGTCATTGCGTTAATATTATGTTTTGTTGGTGGATTACGCGTGAATTTTGAGGTTAATAAGTTGTTGAATTTAAACTCTCGACATTTATTAAATCAACAAGACAAATTAAAATACTTTGGAGATTTAAATATATGGTTTAATTTTGCGCTTTTCATTTGGTCGGCAAGTTATATAATATTAAGTTTCAATGGACTGGTATCCTTAAAACTGACGCGTTTTATAAGTGACATTTTGATCGCTCATGTTAATTTTGGTGGATTCATATTATATATTTGCATTATATTAATCGTTTATCCGGATTTTACAATCAAGCAAAAGCCAAGAGCGATTTCCACACCATTTGACGTATCAAAACCAAATAATGGTATCGACATTGCTGAAATAATAGCAAAAAAAGGACCAAGTGGAGTTGAAGATTTATTAATGAATCAAATAATAGTTGAAACGAGACAAGACGTTAAAGTTGAACAAGCATATATAAATCCATATAGATCATTATCTACAACCTTGCCCGCAACTCCGTCTTCATCCAATCATTTGTCGATGGACTCATTAGCTCCTATGCCATCTCCATCTTCAACGTTCGCTGGAAATTCCAAAAATAAGAACCAGCTTAGATCTTCACCTTTAAATGATGCCTCTAGTCAACAAACTTTGGATGAGCATTCAACTTTAACGGATAATGGTGGTAGATTTGAAGATGATGAATCTTGGCAACAAGTTGAAACTTTGAATGAATCTCAATTCCGAGTGGAAAATAACGATGAGGATATGCCTTCGACGTTTGGGCGCAATCGTAATTCTGTGTAAAAAAGAAAAAAAAAAAAAACTGTGCTGAAGGATATTAACTAGTTACCGTGGATATTCATTCTTTTTATTTTTCTCTTTGTATATTTTGATACTTACACAGGTCAGCAATCTTATTCATCATCACAGCTGAGCCGTGATAATGAATTGCATGTTCTGCGAAATAGCTATTGTTACATATATCATCATTCCCTCTTCATAAATATACATACAGTATCTACACATATACGCATATAAATTTTCATTTTTTTTTTTTTTTTTGGTTTGTTCGGTTTAATGTGATCGATTAGAAAAATTTCAATTTAATCATGTTTCTTTTAAAAAATTTTTTTCTTTTCCACTTTGTATATTATTGCGCAATACTTTTTTTAATCATCATTAAAATGTCCATTATAATACACGTATAATTTTGTGTACTACCTGATTTTTGTGCAAATACGTCATAATTTCTGATCCATGAGCTACTTTGATCATCTGATGTGTCATACGAACATTTAAGATAAATAGGTGCCTTGAATTTGACAACTGTAATCCTATACACCAACTTTTCTGGAAAATGGTTACGACTTTGTCAGATTTACCTAACGAATTATTATTGAAAATATTCATTTACATATTGCATGTTAATAATGATAATAGGTTGGTATCATTCCCTTTAAACAAAGATTTTCATTTTGATGTTGAATCGTCTTTAATTGTCTATTAATTAGTTACAGTGTATTGTGGAGTCTTCGAAGAACGTGTAAAAAATGGAGAGCGTTGATTCCCATCGTGATCAATGATGACATACATGGTAGATTCGGAAAGGATCTAAAGTTCGAAGTAATTAAAGAAAAAAATTTAAAATATATGTATTTATTTTTTTTTTTCTGTATTTATATTAAATTTGTTTTCATTCCTTCTTTGCCATAAAAAAAAAAAAAAAAAAAGATAAGAATGGATTTTACATATAAATCAAGTTATTTTCACGGTAAATTCGAAACATTTGAAAAAATAAGTACGTTTCAAATTGTAGAAAAATCGTCGTCGTCAGATACCGAAGAAGAATCAAAAGAAGGATCACATAGAAGTATGAATCCGGGAGAAACATGCTGTGCGATACATTTGGAAATTACAGTAAAGCAATTTCCGAGCTCATTGCCATTTGGTTGGCGCACAAAAGAATATATTCCAACCATATCATTCCCAGACGAAAATGCTTGCGACGTTAAACAAGCAAAATTTGGTATGGGAATGATTATGGGTTATAAATTATCTCCTTGTACTGACGTTTTGGCTGATGATATATTCAGACTTCGAATAAGTAATAATAAAAACAGTAAGGGTGTCAATGGGGTTAATTTGAGTGAGAGGGGAAAAGATGATATTAATTCTTCGGGTTCGAATTCAAGTGGTGACGTTACTGTACACTCTAGTGTGGCTCCTTGTAATGGAATCGAATTGATCTATTTAAAGGTACCAGGAAAAGTTTTGTTGGAATTGGTGGATGCTTTGGATAGTCTCGCTGGTTCGTTTTTGAGTATTGGTGTGATCTAATTTTGTTCTATGCGAGAGGACGCATAATTAAATCTTCCTCCCCCTTCTTTTCTATTCTTTATAGATTCGAATAATGATAAACCGAAAACAAAGTTTTCTTTTACAGGAAAATTTTATAAATTTAAAAGATATGAAGACGTAACGGGGTATCCTTATATTCAAAGAAAATCACTAAATTGCTTAAGATAATAAAAAAAAAAACACTTGAGGTGTAATGATTGATATATTTACGAATTCCATGTTAAACTTCGGAGGAAACTTGATAAATCTTTTTTATTTGTGAAAATTTCTGTCTGTGGAAGCAGAGTTCCTCGAGGAACGATGCCAGATCCGATAATTCTCATGTATATTAAATGTTGGTTTCAAAAATGAGTTAGTCGTATTATAATAATAATAATAATAAATATATAAATATATAAAGATTATATAGTATTGCGATTAGGAAAATCAGGTTCTCAAAATTTCGATTTTTTATGTTTTTAGCTTTAAATTTTAGTCAAAACCTGATTTTTCCATATCAGAATCGTAGATCGTATTTATTTGATCATCCGTTGAAAATTTTTGACATCCCTTATTTTAAAGGAACTTTTCCTGAAAATCGCAACCATGTAATGTTTTTATAATTAATTATAATAATAATTTTGTAACAATACAGCCAGTTATCATATGATATGATCGTCTTCACCGAAAGAAATTTTTTCGAAGAAAAATAAAAAATAAAGTAAAATAAAATAAAGGAGCCCTTTATGAATAAAACAACGTCATTCTTATGCACAGTCTGTAAAAGAATTTAAATTAATTTTAAAACCTTTGATTCATGATAATGATACCTCATCCAACGTTTTTCTTCATAGAGTCTGAAATACTGTATGTCTGCATAAAATCGAAGGAAATGAAGGGCTTCGTATTCCATTATTTGCATTCCTTGTAAATGAAGTAATTAAGTTATTAAAAGTAAGTGGGTAACCTACAGCGTAGATGACATAAAAGTTATTCGTCGTCTATTATTAAAAAAAAATTA